TATATGGTGATTACTGTTTCATCGTGAAGGATATTCAGCACAGGAAAATTTCCATAACTTTTTACAGGAGAATATTTGGCAGACACGGAAGGCAGTTTGAGCAGCTTCTACCAAGGATACTTTCTCGATTCGCTTATTCGAGTAAGTATCTTTCTCAAGATCTGTTAGAATAGAAGAGGTTAAGAATAGATAAGATTTTAAAATTATTTCTAATGTTCACTTATCACGAATATTAGTAAAGCACTTAGCTGTCTGTATATGGGAGTGTTTTGTCACGAAATTTATGCACTGTGGTTCTTAAAAGTTGTTGAGTTAGCTCATTCTAAGACATCACGTGAACATCAGCATGTCTTAGGCAGTTAAGAATTACAAAATATGTAGGCAATCAGGTGCTTCCGCAATAGAAAGACGGCGCAGAGATAATTTAACCTTTGGCTTATGCTGAGATTACTTTTACTAATATAATGAACAGTTATGACAAGCTATTCGACAAACATGTAACTCAATAATGCAGCAGCTTCTACAATAATAATTAATGCGGCCAATATTATCCATCTACATTTTTTTTTCAATGCGTATTTATGGTCGACTCAACAGTGAAGCATTTAGAAGCACGGAGTTCGCAGTCATTTATATCAGTGCATTTAAATACATGGATTAAAATGGCCGTCAGAGAAATTCTTGGAGGGACATCAGGATAAAAAGAGCAAAGGGGGTAGAAACTGTGAAAGCGACTATGTAGAAATACTTACAAACTATAATCAGGCAATTCTTTTGAAACTGCAAAAACAAGCTTATATATTGAACAAGAAAGCCATCTTCACATTTTAACTGGATTTGTACGGCTTCTACAAAGTGGGGAACAAAAATTCCTTCTTGAATACTTAGATAATTAAATACTTAGATACTTAGATGGCCTGTCTTCACTTGTCGTGCAGGCCAAAGCACTGTTTCCATCCGTTTGTCTCTCGCCAGCGTCATCCGCGATGTTGATATTAAACTGCGACGACGACGTTCGCGAGGTCCAGATCCTTACTCGTTACCAGCTGAGAATTCAGCTGGTCCGTCCGTGCAACGAACACGTCAGCCCACCTCATGGCCTCCCCCAAAGGCGTTTTGCTCCACGAGGGATTCATCAGAGTTCTTAGTGTACATCTGTCATTTGTCCCTCTCATTATATGAACACCCCATCGATGCTTTGCCTTAGAGACGTAGGCTGGATCGCGAAGACGAGACATTGATCTTATATCTAAACTGCGAGGTCCAACGAGATGTTGAGTGCGTCGGTTGTACTCCAGAAGACGTCGTTCCAGCGCTGTGTGGGTTGTTCAAAGGGCCTTTCACGTAGCCACAGTGTCACACCACATCCTGCCTAGTAGAGTGCAGGGAGAACATTTGAACCGAAAAGGTGGGCTCGGAGCTCTTGGTCCATCAGCTGGTCTGTGGCTACCTTTAGGAGCCCGAAGGCGGCCCAAGCTGCTCTTTGCTTCCTGTTAAGTTCTTCTTTCAGATTTCATCGAACGCCCGAGATATACGTAAGAAGACCTCTCCGCGAGTGGAGAGCCTTCTAATTCCATTTCGTGATCCTCGCAAAAAGCGTTCTTCATGAACTGAGTCTTCTCCCGGTTGATTCGCAGTCCTATCCGTTTCCCTACTTCGTTTAGTTCCTTCAACATCGTCTCCGCTCCAGTGATATTCCTCGAGAAGAGAAAAATGTCGTCCGCAAAACGAAGGTTCGAGAGCGCTGACAGTATTGCATTAGTCTCGACGCTGTCAAACGCTTTCTCATAGTCAATGAAAGTTAGGACGAGAGGTAGGCGCTACTCTCGGCGAACCGCGATAATCTTCGAAAGTGTCTGGATGTGTCCACGCAACTGAATCCCTGGCGAAATCCAGCTTGTTCCAGAGGTTGGGCTTCATCCAGTGTCCTTGATAT